GCTGATGGGCCTCTTGGCTGGTATGCAGACTCTACCTTTATTTAAGTAAATAAAAGCAAAGAAGGACAGAAATCTGAAAGCGTTAAATCACTGGATTCAGTTACTAAGTAAAAAGAAAGGAGAACAAAATCTTATGCATTTGTATGCACTGTTGACTGTACATTGATCACCCTGTTAGGTGGGCAGTCATTGTTGGTTCCACGGTTGTTTTAAGAAGTATTGTGACGGTTCCCTTGGCAGTTCACCAAAACAAACTCCTTACTACAATTGAACTATCCCAACCGACACTTCAGATGATGACTGAGGCTTTGAAAGTGAGAGTGGCTGGAGAGGGCCGAAGGATGAATCTATCAGCTGAGCAGGCACATCGAAAGTTCAGAAAAGAAGTAAGTGCTGTACATTTAGTGTCTCTTGAAAATGTTGAATCAAAAAAATAATAGCCTTGTAATAATTTTGATGTTAATGAATTAGTGAGAAAAGATAAATAGTACACGTAATAGGAGTGAGTGGAGTTTCATTCGGCCCGTAATCATCAGTAACTTAAGATGACCATATTGCTGAAGTTTAATTTGTTTCTAATAATAAATTAATTTAAACAAATTAAATTTAATTAATAGTCATTACAGGTAGTCACTTCATGCTACAGAAACCAGAGATACATGCATGTAAGCACTGGCCTGGTGGGCCACTTGGCTCCTGTGCAGACTTTATCTACAGACAGAAATATAGGAACATGCATAGTCCTGTTACCTGTTAATCAAAACCATCTATAATAACAAAATTTGATACTCTGTATAGCCATTAATCTATAACTATAAAATAATTATTAACATCATCAGGTAATGGGTAAAATTTATAATAATTGAGTTTGTTTCTGACCAAGAAACACAAGAAAGGAACTTATCCAAGTCCATCTGTGCAAAAAAAAATGGCATGCACAATAAATTATGACACATACACAGACTCTACTGTCCTGTTACATACTAGATGCTCACTCTGTTAAAATTAATTACATGGTGCAGTCACATGCATGATGCAGACACTGTGACCGCCCAATTTGGGCTTAATTGAGCCTGCTGATATCCAGGAATCAAATATTAATGAATTTCCTTTTAGTGAATTATCTAGGGCTTCTAATTATTCTGCCAAAAACCTTCAGTACAAGTTACTGTCAAACCATTGGCCTACCCTGTCAGTGGGGGCTTTGTCTCCACATCCCTCCTCCACCTGAATGGGAAGCATGTTACCTGCTGTTATGTCAGGGTAATTACCCAATGGAATGAGTGCAACTACAGTCTACCTCAGCCAGAGCGCAAACCTGGACCCTTGATCTGGAGTCCACCATGATAACCATGATAATCAAATTGTAACTCTGTATCTCCAGCAGGTGTTGTGCGGTAATGTCAAATGTCACCAACCTCGTACTCGAAAAAATGATTTATTATTAATAATTCTTTTGTTTTAGCAAAGAAAGCTGATTTATAATTACTACAAATCTGAGGGCCTCACTCCAATGAAGCTTTATATTTTGCCATTGACCCAACTTCCACTATGGTTCTTCCTCTCCTTATCAATCAGAAACCTGACTGGATTTTTTCCATGGCAAAACAATGAAGGTAAGAACTATATTGCACATTATTTACTATAGACTATGAGTAGTCTCTTTTTTGCTTAGTCCATTGAGCGAGTTGTGAAAGAAAACCGCAAGAAAAAATGGCCAACCCAGGATCTTGCGCAGCCATTTTTTCTCACAGTTTTCTTTTGCGTCTTGCTCGATGGACTAAGTGAAAGAGGGACTACTGGTAGTCTATATTTACTAATAAAAACACTTGCCATGGTGTACACGCAGTGATAGTAGTTTCTACAATAATGGTGGTTGATACATGTATATGTGCGATGGGGAACGCTAAATCAAGAATCAATTTATTGTGAAGTGTACGTGTAGTACTTAGTGTTTAAAGTAATGGGAATGACGAGGGTTAGAGATATCAGATATGGAATTTGAGGTTTAACTTGAGGCTCCATGTTCAAATCAATTAGTTTTCATTGACATGTAATTATGTGTTTAAAAGATACCATTTTTGTCAGCTATATACTGGTTCATGTACATGCATTGCTTTTCACCACTGGGCATGGTTTTAGTTGTCTCCCATAGCTAAAATGGCCAATCCTTGACTTGGAATTTCTTTACTTACAGTACTTGTACATGTATTTGAAGGCATGTAAAAATTGGTTAGTTGAGGGCTGTGCCCTTTCCAGAGCTGTGTTCATTTAACTTCAAGATGTTGTATCAGCACAGTTAATTCTGTGGCCTTTGCATATACTCATCAAAGATGAGGTAATGGAGATTTGAAAACTGATAGTCTGTCAACTTATTATATGTAGCGATATAGAGTATTTTGTGCTGCAGAGACAACCAGTGTATAGTATGGCGTTTTTAAAATTTATATATAAGATAACCATTAACTTGGAACAGAAGCATATCACCTCGACGAGGTGATATGCTTCTGGTTGGAAAATTAAGTTACATGTAACAAGACAGTTTGTCAATAATTAACTGTGAGAATCTGAAAAATATTAAACAAGTATTGACATGGGCGGATCTAGGGTGGATTAGGGGGGTTCAGTCGAACCCCCCTAAATTAAAAAAAAGTGAGACATTATAACATGCTGACTTGGTCTCAGAGTGCCAGAAATCCTATTTCTGAAGACCTCAGTTTTAAAAATTTTCCTGGGGAGAAAGGTCCCAGACCCTCCTACAGTTGCCTGCCTTCAGTGGTCTGTATCTCTAAACCCTTCTCCAAAATCCTGCATCTGCCTCAGATTGAGAAGATGTTCCTTGTATGTTGGCAAACAGAAATGTTTGGCTTGATGGAGCATTTTTTTAAAATGGTTTTAATAATTCCTAATGTCTGGTCAAACTTTTAACATAAAAATGTGGAAAGAAACTTAGGTATTGAACAAAATAATCAACACCAGGATTCTGTCTTTTGCCACCATTTTATTTTCAATATTACTATTATTATTAAATTATTAAATAATTTATTAGCATAAAATGTGTCTTGACAGTTGTTTAGTCTTATAAATCTAATAATTTCTAAATAGAGGGAAAAACATCCAGATTTTTGCTTAGAATTGCCTTACACTTTCACTTGTGAATGGATGTCTTTATACCACAATCCAATATGCTGCAAACACATTACTTTCATCTCTTGATCTCCAAAAACAGTGTGACATTTTCATATCAAAAAAGAGAGAAGCTTAGAATACTTTTAACACATGGTGAAATTTTTCTTTTAAATGATATCTCATTAAATACCATATATCTGCAGTTAAGTTCAGTTAGTATACTAATTAAAACTGTAGCTCACCTATTCTCCTTCTTAGATTCTTTTTTCTTTACTGGACCATATGTCTCCATGTTAAATTTATTTTAATACCGATTGCTGTTTTGCCAAACAAATGTTTTGCATTTAATTAACTTACGAGTCCATTCTTTGATATTTTCTTTTCCTGTTAGTAGTAATTTCATTATATTTCACTGTCCTCTCTGCTAGTGACATGATCTTCCCTCATTCCTGCCCAGCATCTCTCTTTAGCTAGCAGTACAGTAATTCCTATTATCTTTCAGCAGCCTTCCACCAACAGTTTCCATCTACAGTGTACTTGTCATTCAGCTCTTTGCATGCATTTTGTCTCAAATCTCTGCTTCTGTTTGCTCTCTCTAAATATTTCCTTTTCTTTGCTCAAATCCATGGCTTCTTTCCATGAATATCAGAGCAATTAAATAAAAGGACTTTGTTTTGAGCTGCTCTGGCCACACATTTTGTCATATCATGCATGTATTGAGTGCTGAAACTCAAAAATGTTTTTGTGGTTAGCTGTCAACAAATCCTTCTTAATTAAACTTGTGTTAAAACCCTTGTTGTAGATTTGTGCTTCAGTCTGTAATTAATTAAACCTTAGTCGTTCTTCCGGCCATAGCCCATTTCCTGAAGATAGTTTGGCTTATCAACATACTTGTCTTTAGCACATCTCAAGATTTCTTGAATTTCATCTTCAGAAAATTCCTGTTCTTTTATTTTGTTGATGATTTCACTTAATGCACCATTCTTCTTCAATTCTGCCATTGCATCCTCTTTGCCTGTACATTCCATCGAAATTTTTGCTGCAAGCAACCCACCAGGTTTAACAGCTAACATCTTGCTTGGCGAAGCTTGCTGTTTCATCAACATTGCCTTGCTGTTAAACTTGTCTGCATACGTGAAGCTCTTTTGACGAGTAATTCCATAATCATTCGTTTTCCCCCCACTAATGTCTCCCTTGGTGTCTGTTGTCTCCTTCTTGGAATCTTCTCTCTTGACTTCTGTCTTGAATCCCATGGCTTGTTTCAACTTTTTAATGTCATCAGAGAACTCAAACATTTTGAACTCCAGCTGTGCAACTTCATCAGACAAAAACTGATACTTTGCAGTAAGCTCCTCGATCTTCAAAGGTTTATCTGTTTTATCTAATTGAGTGCACTTGTTATCAGGGGCTTCTTTTGGCTTGGGAAGTGTCTGGGACTTCTTCATACTACTTGCCATTCCCAAGAGCACTGTTTCATCTGCTGAACTCTCACTTGATTCTGAGGATGTATATTCAGGAATTTCTGCCAGTTTAGCACGTGAAGCCTTCTTTACTGGCGCTACTTTACTGTTAGTCCCTTTTTCATCGGGCACAGTCTTCAATCCCTGCAAGTCTTTCTTCGCTGAGCTCAACCTCTGAGAAATAAGGTAGTGCCCATTGGATGATGCAGCAGTGGTGTCTTCCTTAGATTCATCTATTGGTGGCAAGAGCTTGTCGATAAGTTCCTTATTATCCTTGTAACTACCTTTAGCTGTTACATCAACATCTGTGCAATCTGCCTTCTCAGTTGACTCGAAGAAGCTCACTGGTATTGTGGTGGCAGCTCGCTTTCTTGGACTCTTAATATATTCATACTTAGCCAATGTGTCAATAGTGATAGTCTCAAAAGTGTACTTTCCATGGTTGTCTTCTGTTTCACCTTTCTCTGGCTTACTCTTCCTGGAACCTCCTTCCTCAGGGTTAGCAATAACTTTGGAGGTGTCTCGTTTTGGAGATGAAGTTAACCGAGTTTTAGCATCTTTTCCATTAGAAGGCTTTCTACTGAGTGTCGATGTTCCTGTTTTTCTTGGACTAGAGAGCTTCTCAGCCAGTAACTCAGTGTAGAGGCGTTTGGTCTTGTCATCAGTTTCCCACCATTTGTAAGTTGGGAAGCTTGGGCCTGCAGCCATTGGTAGTAGTTAGAGAATGTTTGGAATCTGTGATTAATTGAAATAGTAGTTTCATTGGTTAATAATTTAAAATAAAAGTTAATATTAGGTAACATTTTGATGTTACCTTCCATTTCATTTTAGTCCTCTTTTTAAATTAAAAAAGATCTTTTCACATGTATCTTCAAGATTTTCCTGCTTTTTTTTTGTTTTTTTTGTTTTTGCACTATGTTTCCTCCAAACAGAGTTCCATGAGGAATTTATTTCTCTCTCCAATTTAAATCTCCACACTGACTTACAAAAGATAACAAGTTTACAAACTTTTGTTTTTTTAAAAAAAGAAAAGAAAAGAGGCTTACTATGGACTACAGTTTAGAAATGCCATTGATCAAAGTAAAATGTGCTAACAAATATACAGTTTTCAAAATAAGATTCCAAAGTGCTGTTAGATAGTCTGAAGAAGATATACCATGTGAAAAAGTCAAATTTAAGTGACATTAACAGCTTCAGAGACTTAAAAGTGTCTTACAGATGAATATACTTGCTTTAATCATTCCAGGTGCTGAAAAGATACTTCCCTGCCCAGAGATGACAACTGAGGGCACTCTTTGGTTTTCAAACCTCACCATAGCTGATCCCACTCTTATTTTGCCCTTTGCTGTTGGTATTTTTAATCTCCTGAATATTGAGGTCAGTCTATTTTCAAGACATATGCCTGTGATCATGCCAATTATCACACATAGAGCGGTTTTTAATTGGGTGTCCTAAAATGAACACCAAAGTTTTCTGTAATAACTTTGGCCAATCAAGAACCCACAGACAGTTTGTCCAGTGAACCAATCAAAAGACACGGTAGAGGTAAAGTTAAAACCCGCATAAAAGAACACATGTTTTGGGGTTTCAGGCTGATGTTGTTCTTATATATCAGGTGTCTTCTGCAAAATCAGCCTGAAAATGGTCTTAAGCTGTTCTTAAATACTGCATAGACTACCAACAGATGAAATCAATGTGCAAGCACAACATTTTAATTAATTAATGGATGACACATATATTGATCTACTTAGTACTGTACTCTAGTAGGTTATATAAGAACAATTTTCATCTTTCAGGCTGAATGTGTTCTTATGTAATGGTACCTTTTTGACCAAATTTCAGCCTGAGTGTTCTTAATCCATGTGTTCTTTTATGCAGGTTTTTACTGTTTACACTCTAGCTGAGGAAAAGCGTAGGACAAACGTTTATGACCCATCATGATTGGTCTTGATTTCAATTCTGACTGGATGAAAAAGTGGCACAAGTGTTTAAGCCAATCTTCTTTCTTTTCGAGGCTCGAGAAAACCGCTTTCACTTATATATTAATTAGTACATATTAACATACTTTCCAAATTAATATGTTGAGCACTGTGAAAGATAGCCACGGTTAATCATCAACCCTTGGTAATGGTTATATTTAGTGAGTTAATAACAACAATTTTGGTAATGTTTTGATGACCGGAGGTAAGCGTGCATTCAAACAAGTAGTCCAAAATCAAAATCAAAATAATTCCAATGCCTCCTTGCCTTTGTTACATACATACATATGCATGTACAACTTTATTTTCCTTCAGATTTCAGTATAGCGCAAGAGTGCTAATATCTCCGAACAAACAAACAATAAAATAAAATTTTAAAAAATACTCTATGTTGTTGGTTATTGTAGGAGCCTAGGAAGTACTTTGTTTCAATAGTTAAACAGTCACTACTGCAAAAAATATATATATATTTAAATGAAAAACCAACTTAATTGTTTTGAAAAGTAGTTCATTCTACCCATCACTTTAAACATGCTGCTTAAAATGGATTCACTGATAAGATCTGGTTTAACTCAGAGTTGTTCAGCTCAGTCAAACTCTAATTCAAGTTATNGAGGCAAAGCAGAAAAATCACTTGAAAATTGATCAGTCTAAAACGAGGTGGGCATGTTGAGGTTGAGGTTGAAATTAAAAAGACTTAAGAGTTTGAAATGTTTGTATGTTGCTGACAAAAAGTAAACCTGCCAACTGAGACAACAGGTGTCTGTCACCAGTTCTTTGAACAGCAGGTTTGGTGATTGTTGAGACATCTTTCAATTAACTAAAGCAGGGTTGTAAAGCATGGCCTTAGGTCTCCTGTGGGGCATGATGAGGAATGAGAGAGAGTTGTAAACCACAAGTCAGGAAATGGTCAGGGGAAAAAATAATTCTTCAAGGTCAGGTAAAAGTCAGGGAATTTTATTTTGAGTCAGAGAAAATTGAAATTTTGAAGAAAAGTCAGAGAAAATGAAATAATATAACATAGCTGATTTAATACCATTGAAGGCTGGAAGAAACATTTTGGGTCACTGTGGTCTCAGTGATATTTTTGATTACAAAGAAGAAAAATTTGTTGAAAACTTATCAGTTTTAATGAAAAAGAGAAGGGCAGCTGTAAGTTGAGGCCAGAAGATGCAACTATATCTGACATTTTGTATTTACTTGTTCAGGGATATCTTATTTTTATCAGGGAAAAGTAAGGGAAATTTGAAAAATGATATCTGTGGCAGCCATGTTACTTAAGATGTTATAATTGTAAATTTTGTCTCCCAAAAGTCAGAGGTAATTGTTAAAAGTTTTCCTTTGTATTGCTTATATAATCTTTGGTTATTTTGTTGTCATTGTTGAACTTCAAAGCTGTGCAATTTATTGCCTTTTAACCTTCAAAACTAAAACAAAATTGTTCAACACTGTGCAACTACTTCCTGTACAGACTGTTGACAACCAAATAACAAATTTCTTGCATCCAACTTTTAGATAAATTTATCACTGATATGGTTTCCAGCCACTCAAGTTGACTATTAAGTAATGAAACAACAAAACCAAGCCCTGGATAGAAAGAATGGCAAATTGAAATGTGCTCAAGTTTCCATAGGAGTGCCTCAAAACAAGTATTATTATTTTTTTTTTTTTACGAAGTTTGAGATGCAGAGTGGATACAAAATTTAAAGTTTTCTTTTGCAAAAGTGAAATGTGTATCCCCATAACCTTTTTTACATCATTTCTCGAGTTTTTTAATTGTTTATTTGATCTTGGTAGGTTAGGTAGGTACTAAGGTTGCCTTTATTTATGTACACAATAATTTGCGTGAAAGTTGAAAGCTTGTGGGGTCGTGTACAATACGTTACTTCTAGATATTAAAATGCAAATAAAATGCAGTTTTACATTAATACACTACAGCTAATGTATTTATGAAATTCAATTAAATGCATTTTAAAAGCATATTGAAATGCTATGGTGGCATATTAATATTACAAAATTAAAAAGTAGGCCAAGTACATCGTGAACAAGTTTATGAGCACATTTATAGTGTGCTCAGTAACGTGTATTTTTCTCTTATTGTGTAACAGTTAAACTGAATCTCATTTGATCATCAGCTTAATGCCCTGCGGCGACACGAGGCAACAACATTTCACCAGACGGTGACCAATACCCTGAGGTTTGTTTCAGTGGGAATGATTTTTGTCGCTTCACAAGTCCCAACAGTAAGTTGCCATTTTGAATCACGCATAGAAATTGGGAGCGAATAATCTAATTGTTTTAATATAAATCTACTATTCATTCAAAACTTTATCTAAATCCTCTTCACAGACACTTTGAAAACACCGAGAAGTGGCTGTCATTTTGTTCAAAACTGCACACTGCTACGCTACTCACCATCTACTTAACAAATAGATAGTGAGTGGCGTAGCCAATCAGAGAATAGCATTTGCGAAAGAAAACTTGTAGATTTATACTTAACCTTGATAGNGAGTGGATACAAAATTTAATGTTTTCTTCTGCAAAGTGAAATGTGTATCCCCATAACCTTTTTTACGTCATCATTTTTTCAAGTTTTTTTTATTGTTTATTTGATCTTGGTAGGTTAGGTACATGTAGGTTAGGTAGGTAGGTTGCCTTTATTTATACACGATAATTTGTATGAAAGCTGAAAGCTTGTGGGGTCATGTACAATACATAATTACTTCTAGATAGTAAAATACAAATAAAATGCAGTTTTACAATACATTACAGCTAATGTATTTATGAAATTCAATTAAATGCATTTTAAAAGTGCATTGAAATGCTATGGTGGCATATCAATATTACAAAATTAAAAAGTAGCCCAAGTACATAATGAACAAGTTTATGAGCACATTTATAGTGTGCTCAGTAGCATCTGTTTTTCTCTTATTGTGTAACAGTTAAACTGAGTCTCAATTTTTTAATTACTCTGTGATCATCAGCTTAATGCCCTGCGGCGACACGAGGCAACAACATTTCACCAGATGGTGACCAATACCCTGAGGTTTGTTTCAGTGGGAATGATTTTTGTCGCCTCACAAGTCCCAACAGTAAGTTGCCATTTTGAATGATGCATAGAAATTGGGAGCAAATAATCTAGTTGTTTTAATATAAATCTACTAGTCATTCAAAACTTTATCTAAATCCTCTTCACAGACACTTTGAAAACACCAAGAAGTGGCTGTCATTTTGTTAAAAGCTGCACACTGCTACGCTACTCACCATCTACTTAACAAATAGATAGTGAGTGGCGTAGCCAATCAGAGAATAGCATTCGTGAAAGAAAACTTGTAGATTTATACTTAACCTTGATAGAAAGTCAGGACTAAAGTTATAGAAATATGAGTGAAAGTTTGGGAGAACCAGAAATGCTGTGGGAACTCAAGCTGTTAGGCGTTAGTGTTTTCACAGCTTTTTCAAGCTCTCCCAAACTTTCACGATTGTTTCTATTACTTGAGAGAAATGTTCTCTATTTCTTTTAGAAAAAACCACAAAGAAAAAAAGAAAAACAACTTGTTTACTTTGATCATCAAAATGTAAATTCTCTTTGCTTGGGCCATCGTTTACATCAGCAGCTTGTGCTAGGCCTGTGTTTCTATTGAGTTGTAGAAACACAATTTTAAACCAATCAGTATGTGTATTTCCTTTGGGCTTTTTCCTAAAACATTTTAATAACCACAAAGAATGAGTTCTATAATATTATTTATTTTCTTTTCCAGTGTATTTTCTGAAAGATTGTAATAGAAAACATTTTCTCCAAGATTTGATTTAAGTTGTAGCTCCACAGAAGCACTCATGAAAATTTGTATGTTTCTGCTGAGCATTTCTCTTGGAAAACTCAATGGAATGC